GGGATATTAAATATCACCAATGATTTTTAAAATAATTATCTAACACAATTTTAGTTTAGGATCTGCGAGTTTTAGGTTATAAAACAAAGATACTCTCTGTCCTAGAAACATTTATCGCTATTCAAAAAGATTCAAGGTCAAGACTCTCAACATATGAGAAACGGAATAGCCTTAAACATAGGTGATGTTTGGGTTGTCGTTGAGTGAACATACATGTTAAGAAATTGATGTTTACGAACAGCAAGAAAGGGAATAGGCCTCTTATAGGCGGTTTCATATAGATCCGAAATACGAAAAATGTTTTCTTCTTCTTCTATACTTTTTATTCTCTCTTCCGAGAGAATTGGACTTGAGCCAATTAGGTTTTTACTGCCCAGTTACAAGTTTTTACGTCCTTGAGCTTCTCGAAGCCATCCACTCACGGACATGTGGAATTTCAAATCTTGAAACATCCACTAAAACGATTGCACAAATCACAAAATACCTCGCTGAAAGGTCAAAGCTTGCGATATTGTCAAGAAATACCGGTATATTTCTATACCGGGAACCCCATTTTATCCTTCCTGTGTCAAAGTCAACTATTTTCAGACTTTTTCATGGAGCGATGTACAGCCGTTGAAAGATAAAATCGAACTCCGAAAAATGTTTTCATTGGTCCATTTGATTTGGCGGGAAAATCGTTTTGACGTTTTGACTGATCCTGCGAATTCACAAGATTTGAAATCTGAGGGGCGGAAATCTTGAGATTGATTCAATATTTTGCGAAAATCGCACGAATTTGTCGTGATGCCCATGCGCATTAATTAATTCTATCTTCGTTTTGACAATAAATAAGCGCAATGGCACGCCCTCGTCGCCAATGGTATAATTGCCACTGGTATAATTATTCATCCATAATAAAAACAAAATCTCAATTTACATAAAACAACAAATAGAAAATGCAGGCAAATTAAGTCCCTAAAATACCATGGCAAATATCACCTAGTGAGAAAAAAATGTCCCTAAAATAGTTCGCATCTATATGAAATAGGAGTTGCAAATATTCGTATTTCGCATCTACAGTGTGTCCCGTTTAAGACCTTACCACCCTCGTAAAATTTGCATTTTTCAACCGATCTTCGTAAACTTTTTTTTGTTGGATAGATCTCTGAAAAAGGCTTTAATCACATATGTTACTTGTTTTGACCACTAAACTCATGGCCAACTGTGATCTCTTTTTGGGGTCGAAATTTCGAAAAGTACTATTAGGGATTTTTTTAGAGAAAAAGTGACTACGGATTATTGTTCGGGACCACTTATAACCCCACTATACCAATTTTTATCGTTCTTAAATACAGGGTGTTCCAGATGGATGTTTTTTAACTTTTTGATAAAAACCTCGGAAAATTTGCATTTTGCGATTTTCTTAAACTTTTTTTGTTTAAAAGGATTATTCGGGACCACTTAAAACCCAACTACACCAATTTTTATCGCTTTTAGATACAGGGTGTTCAAGCTGGACATGTTTTAATTTTTTGATAAAACCCTCGTAAAATTTGCATTTTTCAACGGATTTTCTTTAACTTTTTTTGTTGAAAAAGGCTTATTCGGGACCACTTAAAACCCCACTCTACAAATTTTTATCGCTATTAGATAGGATGTTTTTTTGATAACAAAAACAATGAATTAAACACATTTAGTGGATATTTTAGTAATTCCGAATGCTCCCTAAGCAACAACTAAATTTACTATAAAGTAGTACAAAGAAACGTACACCAAAATTAATAAAAAATTTAATTTTAAATGGAAAATTAGCTGTAGGTATACGAATTAAACACGTTTTTATTGTATTAGAGCAACTCAAAAACAAACAATTAAAAAATAAAACAACTAACGATAATTAAATAGTAGTCATTTCAATTAGTCCACCATTTTGCATTATGCATTTGTCTATGCGTCGTCTACAGTTGTTTACCACGCTTCTTAGCTGTTGCCTGGTTATACTGTGGCAAGCCTCCCGAATGCGATCGCAAAGTTGTTCTCGTTTTTGGAGTCTTGATTTATACACCTTATTTTTTAAAGTCCCCCATAAGAAGAAGTCAAGTGGGGTGAGGTCTGGAGACCTAGGCGGCCAATTAATTACAGGGCTATTTCGCCCAATCCAACGATTGGGAAAATTCTCATTTAGCCATCTCCTCACTTCAACATAGTTATGGATGGGTGCCCCGTCCAGCTGCAGATATAAATTGAGGCGAACATTAAGGGGCAGTTCATCGATTTTATTATTAATTTCATTCTGCAGAAATCTAAGAAAATTAGCTCCGTTCAAATTTCCGTCAAAAAAGAAAGGTCCAATTAATCTTTCGTTCAATATTCCACACCAAACGTTCACCTTAGAGGAGTATTGCCTTTTGCATTCTATCACCCAGTTTGGATTTTCCTCACTCCACATTCTGGTATTTTGTGACGATACAATACCGTTTGTTGTAAATGTAGCTTTATCGGTGTATAAAATATTTTTGAGGAATGTAGGATTTTCTAAATACATACCTTGCAACCATAAACAGAATTCCATTTTTCTTTCAGGGTCGCCAGCTTCGAGTGTATGGAGAAATTTTGGCTTAAAGGGTTTCTTACCATTTTTTTTCAAGCATTTCCAGATAGTGTTTTTTCCTATATTGAAAACTCTACTTGCCCCTCTAATGCTTGAGCGAGGATTCTCATTAAAATAATCAAGAATTATTTGATTTGCTGGAACCTCACGGTTACGATGCTGATTGGAGAGTTTGTTTACATTTCCGTGTTCGTTAAAAAATAAATTAATTCTCCTAACTGTAAAAAAGTTAAAAGAAAATCCGTTGAAAAATGCAAATTTTACGAGGGTTTTATCTTATCTTTATATGTCCAGCTGGAACACCCTGTATCTAAAAGCGATAAAAATTGGTGTAGTGGGGTTTTAAGTGGTCCCGAATAAGCCTTTTTTAACAAAAAAAGTTTAAGAAAATCAGTTGAAAAATTCAAATTTTAGGAGGTTTTTATCAAAAAATTAAAAAACGTCCATCTGGAACACCCTGTATTTAAGAACGGTAAAAATTGATATAGTGGGGTTATAAGTGGCCCCGAACAATAATCCGTGGTCACTTTTTCTCTAAAAAATCCCTAATAGTACTTTTCGAAATTTCGACCCCAAAAAGAGATCATAGTTGGCCATGAGTTTAGTCGTCAAAACAAGTGACATATGTGATTAAAGCCTTTTTCAGAGATCTATCTAACAAAAAAAAGTTTACGAAAATCGGTTGAAAAATGCAAATTTTACGAGGGTGGTAAGGTCTTAAGCGGGACACACTGTATATGAAACCGCTTTAAAAGTGTACCTGGCAGGTACTACCTGCATAAAGTTTTGTCAATACAAGTAGGTACGAGGGTGGTTCAAATATAAACCGGAATTTTTTAATAAACGCGCTAAAAATTTAGTATCGTAAAAGTGGCTGCACTGGATGTTAGACTGGTCTGTTACGAAGCGTAGAGAACAGCCGGGACTGCGTAACCTCGCTTTTCAGTGTAGTTATAGCCATTAGCGAGAAGCATGTACCTGTGTCTGTTGCCCAACGCATCATTATTCGTATTTTGGTCAAAGATAATGTAAAATCCGCGGAAATTTATCAAAAATTACTCGAGCAGTTCGGGGATGAGTGCCTCTACAAGACTCAAGTGTATGAATGGTATTCCGCTTTGCGAAAAGGCCGAGAAGTGGTGGCAAACTTGCCATATGCGCGGCGCCCCAAAACAAGTGTTACAGATGAGAACGTCAGCGCTGTAGAAAAACTCATTTTGGAAGACCGACGCAGTACTGTACGCGATATGGCTGAAGAATTGGGCATCAGCGTAGGTAGTATTAAGCAAATAATTCATAAACGCAACCGCAAAATTTAAGCCAGATAGGTGCCAAGACTTCTGAATTTTGCTCAGAAATTCACACGCTGGGAAGTTTGATGAAAACATTGAACGAATTGGGTTGGGAAACACTGGAACACCCTTCTTATAGTCCCGATTTGTCGCCATGCGACTAGTATTTGTTCGGTCCAATGAAAGAGGCACTTGGCGGACTGCGATTCGAAAGCAATGCGGAGGTAGAATACTTCGTGCGCGAATGGTTACGTGACAAGCCGAGAGATTTTTACGAACAAGGCATCCGAAAGCTTCCGGAGAGGTGGCAAAAGTGTGTATAGTGTAACGGAGACAATCTAGAAAAATTGTAAAAAAATTTCAGCTCTGTAACTTAATAATAAAAATTTTTATAGCAAAATTCCGGTTTATATTTGAACCACCCTCGTATAAAGCTTCGACTGAATTTGATCTAAAAAATTATGGAATAAGAATATCTGTATTAACGGTAGGTTAATGTATTATACCTAACTTATAATACATTAACCTACCGTTAATACAGATATTATTATTCCATAAAAGAGAAGTTAGATTTTTTTTAATAAATGCCGTTTAGTTAAAATTATTTTTTGTAAATATGTAGACCAAAGGCAAAAAAATATTACTTATTTGGCACCATAAGGGTATTTTTTTTATTGGGCCAAAAATGGAAAAATACCCGAAAAAATAAGTTTTTGAAACCTGAAACTGAATTTTATGATTCCTTGAATAGTCTGGTACACTGTTTTTATATGGGATTCTACAAATTTGGTCAACTGTTTTGCTAGTGAATAATATTTAATGATAATAACTTATTTCTGTCCTTTCTGCAACACATTCGTTCAATTAAACAAACATTTTTATATTCACATTAGAAGCGGTGTTTTTTATATAATTAATATTAGTATACACGCATCTAGAAAACCAATTGGTATGAGGTTTTATAAATATTTAAATAAATTATTTTATAACATGCACCATATGGTTATATGTTCTTTAAAAGCGCAGAACCTCTAATATTACAGGTTAACTTACCTATTTGTATAGCAATATTTGTGAAACGGCCGTAAGATATGATAATTTTATAACTTTAGAGCATGTTGAATAATGAATATGCAATTGAAAGTAGCTATAGCATTTTATTTTTCTTTAAGGTTCACGAATTTACGAAGACGGGGACAATTTGTTGCAGATTGGAATTTTAACAAATAAACAGCCCATTAAATTTATTTATTAATACATTTAGAAAAGAAAGATATAACTTGTATTGACCGATTAGTCATTAGGGAGGACCAAAAAATTAAAATCTGGAATTTCAAAACGCAATACCTGCCAAAATATGCCTTTTTATGTGTGTAAGAAAGCAGAATCATATTAAAGGTCATCTTCCGCTCTTTACATTGCTTTCCATATTAACGAAAATTTTGAATTTCATCATACTTGTAATTTTTATGAAATAAAAAAAAATTAATTCTTTGCCACGCAGCTTACTAATATGTGAAAAATATCGAAACATGTAATAAATTGTTTGTTTATCATAGTTTTAAAAAGTGCTTTATATTTAAAATGAGTGGAAAGAATACAATAATTACTAGAAAAAAAGTGAAGTGTGTGGGGAAACGCTGTAACATTTTTATTTTTTTGTATTTGTTTTGATTCAAAAGACCTTTGACATAATTAGTTTTTTGTAGTAGAAATGTGTAGACAGTAAAAACGGTCGGTTTTTGTTTTTAATAATTACAGTTGTTCTGTGGTTGCTATGAAGTAATTTTTGAGAAAAGAAACATAAAAAGATTGATGTGTTATGGGATTTAATTTACAACGTTTTTCATGGCGCTTATCCAAACGTAGATTGCGTTTTATTCAACGAACCGCCAGGGTTTATTTAAACAGATTGTTTATTTGGACTCGGCACAAAATTTTGGCGACCGCGACAGGACTGACAGTGCTAAGAAAAAAGGAAAATATTGTGTCAAAACTCGGGGTTCAAAACAAGCGTTGTGTGCGAAAATCTTGTTTGGTGAAGGTTCGGCGAACGGGCAGCTGAAAATACTCGGTTAACATCGCGCATAAAGGACACACAACGCAAGTGAGTTCTTCGCACGCTGTTTACCAAGAATGCCAATGAGTTGGACAGTTTATTGTCTGTAAGCGAAGAGCGGGATGAACAGGCGACAAGAGGATGCAAAGTATCAATGGAACTTATGCAAAGTAAACACGATCAATTGATAGTAATTGATTCAGAGATTTTGGAGCTTATGCTGGAGTCTGAGGCCTCTGAAAATGACATTGGAACACAGTGCGAGAATTCCGAGGAGTATAAAAGAAAATATTTGGATTTACAATGTAAATATGAGTCAGTCTTTAAATGTGTAGCTGATGAGGAGATATCTTTAGCCAAATTAGACATTAAATCGTGATAGTGTGGGACAACGAAGATTTAAGCTGCCTACTATAATCTATAATATTTAAAACATTTGATGGTAATGTTAAGAACTGGATGCCATTTTGGGTACAGTTTTAGAAGGTGCATAATGATGAGAGCATAGATTCTAACGACAAGATAGAGTATTTGGTTTAAGCCAGTTGGGCCAGATAGCTTTCCTGCAGTTGGGAAAAATTACCAAAAAATTATTGATTCATTGATGATGAGGTTTGGCAGGGAAGACATACAAATAGAGGTTTCAGTAAGGGAACTTTTGAAGTTGATAATAAACAATTCAGTTTCAAACCACAAGATGGATCTGTCGCTTTTATATGATAGAATTTAAACACAATTGCGAGCTCTGGAGTCGTTGGGCATAACGTCAAATAAGTGCGCGGCCATGCTTTTTCCGCTGATTGAATCATTCCTTCCAGAGGAATTGATACGCGTCTGGCAAAGATCGTCCTTGGGCAATACGGGAGTGGATTCTCGTTCGTGTTCTACAGAGATACTTGACGTGGGAGATTCAACTTTGGAGGTTCGGTTAAAGAATCTGATGTCATTTTTACGGAACGAGGTGAAAAACGAGCAAAGAATAAGTTTGGCAACTGAAGGTTTTGGACTTAAGAATGATAACCTTTGCAAAAGTCGAGGTCAATTATCTGATTCCAGATTAAAGCGAAAACAGGAATCTGGAATTCCAACTGCAACAGGTTTAATCAATTGTGAGTCAACAATCAAATGTGTTTTTTGCGACGGAAAACATGAAAGTATGAAATGTTTTAAGGCAAGAGATATGACGCTGGTGCAACGTAGAAGTACCCTAGTGAAAAGAAATGCTTGTTTCAACTGTTTGAAAATTGGGCATGTTTCAAGGAGATGTAGAGTTAAAATTGAGATGCATAATGTGTGGAAAGCAGCACGAGGCGATAATGTGTTCTAACAGGACCGAGCCCAAGTTTGAGGAAAACAGCAAAGCTACATCCAGCAAAGAAAATTAGACTGTTGGTACGTCGGTTACTTGCACCAACAATTCTGGGTTGAAAACTCATGTATTTTTACAAACATTGCGTGTGGAAGCACATGGGCCCAATGGGTTTAAATCAATAAGAGCACTGATCGATACAGGATCGCAAAATACCTATATATTGACAATTACGGCGTTGGAGCTGGGCTATTCTTTCAAACGAGAAACAAAGTTAGTTCACTGTTTATTTGGAGGGCTTACGTCGGAAAAGGCGCATCACTGTTATAACATTGAGGTCAGATATGAAGCTTTTAAAGAAACATTTGAGGCACTATCTCAACCAGTTATTTGTAAGGAGGTGCCACCGGTGTTTTCTGGACCATGGGCTGAGGAGTTGAGAGATCTGAATATACTGCTGTCGGACAGACAAAGATCTGGGGCAATTAAACTGCTTACTGAATCAGCCGGAAAACTATACACAGGTAGGAGGCATGAAACAAGTTGTGGATTAGTGGTTGTGGAGACTACTCTAGGGTGGACTCTTATGGGCAAAGTTACAGTTGTAGGAGATGATCGGAGTACTACCATGACTGCAATTTCCCTGTTTGTCAAGGACGCCTCCATAACCAACTTGTGGGAGTTGGATGCTCTGGGTATAAAAGACCCAGCGGAGCAGATTTCTGAAGAGAATCGTGCGCAAGCTGCGAAAGATTCCTTTAATGAAACTTTGGGAGTCGATGATGAAGGTCGATATGAAGTAAGGCTGCCTTGGATAGAAGGACATCCTCCTTTACCTAACAATTATGCCATGGCCCATAAACGATTGTGCAATACTTATAAGAAGTTATGTGCTGAGGGTTTTCTCAAGTCGTACGAGTTCGTGTTTCAAGATGGGATAATTGAAAGAGTACCTAAAACCAGCCGACGAGATGGATATTATCTACCACACAGACCTGTTATCAAGGAGGGGAGTACTACGAAAATCAGACCGGTTTTTGATGCTTCAGCGAGGGAAAAAGGTAGACCTTCCCTGAACCAATGCTTGGAAAAGGGTTTGAATCTGATAGAGATCATACCGGAGATTTTGTTGAGATTTCGAAAAGAAAGTCGGGGTAACTGCAGACATTAAGCAGGCATTTTTTCAAATGAATGTTAATGAGAAGGACAGGGATTTTGTACGATTTTTATGGATAGACGAGCAGGGTAAGATAATCATCTATCGGCACAGACGAGTAGTTTTTGGAGTGATCAGTAGCCCTTTTTTGTTGATGGCTACAATCGGAAGACATCTCGATAGGGTTATTGAAGTCTGCAGAGAAAAGAGAGCACCGTATTCGGAAAAAAAGGTGCGATTATTGCTCTCCAGTTTTTATGTAGACAATTGCGTGGCAAGCTTACCTGACAAAAAGGCGTTGAATACGTTTATCCAGGAGGCTAAGACATTAATGATGGAGGCAAAATTCGAACTTAGAGGGTGGGAGTACTCGGGACAGGTAAACTCCAATTTTACTTTTTTACTAGGTTTGTGTTGGGATACAGTAGAAGATGTACTACGTGTCAACATTGAAGCATTTGGTGATATTCAGGAATTGATGAAAGGTCCAATCACAAAGAGACTTATGCTATCGTTGGCGCAAAGAGGTTGGTTTTACTTGTCCAGCTACGCTGATTCCGAAACTTTTACTGCAGAAGACGTGGGAAAAGAATTTAGGCTGAGATGAACCAGTCGAGGAAGAGATCGCAATTAATTTTAGAAACTGGGCGAGCGAACTACCTCTGATGAATATGATCCGTATCGATCGATGGATTTATGCTGGAGAAGATGAAGCGAAGGAGCGTTTACTTCACACATTTTGCGATGCGAGTAAAAATGCTTATTCGGCTGTAGTTTTTTTACGTGGAATCTGTGATGGTCAAGTGAACGTAAAGCTACTGGCTGCAAAGAGTAGAATTGCACCTATTCGGCAGTTGACTATCCCAAGGTTGGAGCTGCTAGAGACTTTGGTGGGAGCAAGGTTACATCGCGTTGTGAAAGAAAATTTGACATTAGATGTAAAAAGTTTTTTCTGGAGTGACTCTTCAACAGTTTTGGCTTGGATCCGCAAAGAAGAGGAATGGGGACATTCGTGTATAATCGTGTGACAGAAATACATTCAGTGAGCGACCGATACTCGTGGAGTTATATACCTGGAGAAAAAAATCCGGCTGATATGCCTTCACGAGGATGTTCTCCAAGACAGTTATTGGAATCAAAATGATGGGAGGGTCCCAATTGGCTCTACAACAATCCGGAGAGTTGGTCATTAAGAGAGACCCCGGATTTTAATGAATTCGAAGTAAACCGGGAGAAGAAGAAAGGGGTGATATCTTTGATCAATGCTAAAGCTACAGATGACGGAGAAAAATGGCACCTTACTTATTTTTCAAAAATTAAAAAGACGATTCGAATGATAGCCTGGATAAATAGATTTAAATTTAATCTCAAAAATAAGAATGATAAGAGGTATGGAGATATTATATTCCAGAAGTTTGAGGAAGCCAGAACGTTTGTCTTCAAGATTATTCAGAGGGAATCGTTTTCGGGAGAAGGAATCAAAAGTATAGAGTCTTTGAATTGCTTTAAGGACGAAGTTGGAGTTATACGTTTGAAATCTCGAGTGAGTAGACGAGATGACAGTGAACAGTTCCGTTTTCCTGTCATCTTACCAGCTAAGCATGCAGTAGTAAGAAACTTAATATTCAGCGAGCATGTGAAAGGCCATGTGGGTACCCAAGGGCTGATTTGTACCCTGCGGGAAAATTACTGGATCTTGGGTGGTCAAAGAGAAATCAAAGCCTCCACTTCCAGAGAGTCGAGTCAGGGATGCGGCTATGTTTGAAGTTACTGGAGTGGACTTTGCAGGTCCTCTGTTTCTGAAATCTGGAGAAAAGACTTGGATATGTTTATTCACGTGTGCCGTGTATCGAGCGGTGCACCTCGAGTTATGTTCTGCATTGTCCATGGTCAACTTTATGAAAGCACTTCGACGGATTATCTACAGTGATAATGGGACAAATTTTGTCGGTACCCACAATACGTTTTTTCGATTGGAGTGGGAAAAAGTGGCAGCAGGCTGTGCTACGGAAAGAATACAATGGCGTTTTAATCCGCCAACAGCATCATGGTGGGGAGGATTTTGGGAAAGACTTATTGGAATAATGAAGCAGATTTTAAGAAAAGTGTTGGGAAGAGCTTCATTAAATAATGAGAACCTGAATACTATTTTGTGTGATTGTGAGGAGGTAATCAACTAAAGACCAATCACGTATGTTTCATCGGACCCGGAAGAACTTGTTCCCTTAACCCCAATGATGTTTCTCCGTGAACAAGTAAGCGGGGAAGTTCCAGATTGTAATGCTGTGGATCAACAGTCTCTTTGCAAGAAATTTGTATATATGCAAGAAATTGAGGAAAAAACTTAGGCTCAGATTTCGCAGTAAATGTTTGAGGCAGTTAAGAATAATATAAAATCGACGTCTCAATCGACAAATTGCCATAGGAGAGGTTATCCTGGTGGGCAATGATCAAGAGAAGAGGATGGACTGGCCACTGGGGAAAGTTATTGAATTGCTACCTGGAAAAGATGGAAACGTTCGTTTAGTCAGAGTCAAGACTGCGCGAGGTCAGCCTGTGCAGAGAATTTTTCCGTTGGAATGTGGGGCTGAGGAGTTCCAGTCTTCGGTTCAGGTGGAGCCTGCGGAGGAGAATGAAGTTTCTGCGAAGGAGGACAGAGAAGCAAGTGATTTGCGGGTTAGTGCGCGAGAAGTGAAAAGCAGAGTACCCGAACCGAAAGTTGTCGCGAAGCGTCGAGTTTTAAAAATGCCACGAAGGTATTTGTAAAGAAACTGTACAGCGTTTTTTTTTTTTAGTTTTTTTGGGACATTTTTGTTTCTCAAAACGTATCTCAAGGTGGGAGTATATGGGGAAACGCTGTAACATTTTTATTTTTTGTATTTGTTTTGATTCAAAAGACCTTGGACACAATTAG